ATTGTTGCAAGGATAGGTTCCTGGGTTAGTGTTTTTGTTGTGTGGTGTGTGGTTGCTGGTGAGTATTTGCTTCAGGTTGGGGGGTTGTCTGTAAACAAGGACTGGCCTGTCTCCCAAGGTCTGTGAGAGTGAGGGATCATCCCTCAGGATAGGTTGTAGATCCTTGATGATGCGCTGGAGAGGTTTTAGCTGGGGGCTGCAGGTGATGGCTAGGTGGTTTACCTTTTCACCAGATTATAAAACTGTATTCTAATGACTTACTTCAAAATGACCAGATGGTGATGAAAGCGCCAAAAGGTTAAAGTGTTTTAAAATTCCCTGTGGGATTAATTTGGCTGAAGAACAAACCTACCAAATACCAGCATCATGAGGGATCCCGACAAACTCTTTCAATACCTATTTCCCCCAATTAAGAAATTTCATCCTGTGACTTGACTCTACACTGGAGGGGACAACATTTAGGAGAAGAACACATGAAAGCTCAAAGGCCAGTCCACCCAGAAACTTTCCCTCATGGCTCAAACTTGCTCTTGGGGTGGGCCTACGGTGTTACCGGAAGGTTTGGATCTGATTATATCAAGCCAATTATATTACCTAAAAATAAAGCTTTTAATTTTAAACCTTAATTTAGAATTTATTTGAACTGGTAACCACGGTTGTGATTCGCCCTAAGGGAATTTTCAAGATATCACCATAGTGCTTGTCTCTGATATACAGAGGGCTCTCCAGAGCAAAATAGCCTTGCTGTTCCTTGAAAGGACACGTATACAGCCCTCCGATCAAGAATAGGCCCACAAGCAGTAATTCTTCGAAAACAGAAATAATATTTATTTAGAAACAAGTGGGAGGAGTTTTTAGAGGGGGTCACATGCCACCTCTTGCTTCAGGTTACATGTCAATCTGTGCCCCGGGACTTTCCCTAATTGGTCAAACTCCTCTTGGGGCAGGCCTATGGGTCACCGGCCAGGCCAGAGATATGCACAGAATCCAGGTTTCCTGTGTCCCAGTCCTGTGCTCTAGCCACTAGGCTACACAGTTGTCCCTGTTCATACATTGACCCCTTTTCTCACACAATGCCTTTTCCCAGTAAAGAAAAGTCACTCCAGGGCTGGTCCCTGAAACATTCACCATAAGGGCTGTGAGGAAGACATGGGCGCAGGGCAC